ATAGAGTGGTGCAACCATGAAGAAGACCCATTACCAAATGTAAGGGTGTGTGGTCTGGAAGGAAGCTGACCTGTGGAGGAAAGGCCCCACTGGGGGGTTCTGGTGCCGATAGTTTTTTTACCTGGCTGATCATGATTCGTTAAACAATATTTACATGCTTTTGCATCTCTTCCTCTATGTATATTTCACAAGAGAAAAAAAAGGTAAAGCGTGGCAAAGCATGCAAAAATATTCTCAAAGAAAAATTGCTGTATACCTGTCACTAAAAAGCAACTGTTTTGCCTTATAGAGAACAGATGTTAAGCATGGGATTTTTGCAATATGGACTGTTTACTTGATATCAATCAATGAAAAAGTAATTACTGAGGACCAATTTTTGAGGCTAGCAACATATGAGGAGGTATCCAAAAAAGCCCAGAATTTTAGTTTCAGAGCTATGTATTTTAATTTTTATTTTTACAAAACAACCTTATCACTAAAGTACTCTTCATTACAATTAATACATTTGTCACATCTGTGATTCAATTTTTGCAAACACTTTTTCAAACTCATCTGTTTGTATGGCTGACAGCACCTCCCTCTTTTTTTTCTTCACCTCTTCTAAAACATCAAATTTCTGTCCTTACATGTCCCTCTTCATTTGCTAAAACAAAAATAATTTGCATGGAGTGAGGTCAGGTGTGTCAGGTGCATTGGGCAAGAGAGACGTACTGTTTTTTGCCCAAAACTGGTGCACTGAGATGGCCAGGTGAGCAGGTACGTTGTCGTGGTGGCAAAATCGGTCCCATCTGCCACAAATCAGGCCTTTTTTGTCGCACACTGTTACACAATTTTTTCAGAACCTCTACATGGAAAGCTTGGTTAACAGGCTGACCTGGTGGAACAAACTCGCAAATGCAACATTTTCATCTCTTGGGGAAGTTGGTGCACTTCCAAAACAAGGTTTGTCTTCAATTGACATTTCCACCTTTGATGAACTGAGAAAACCACTCATACACTTGAGTTTTTCCCACAGCGCTGTCCTTGTAAATGGTGTTCAACATCAACAGTTTCTGCAGAATTTTCCCAGAGCAGGAAACAAAATTTCACAGCCACACACTTTTCTCTTAAATCAGCGATCACAAAAAACGAGGTTTGCACAATACTGCCACT